TGAATTGATCCATTGTATCAGTGTTTTTTAAGTGTTTGTATATGCATACCCCACATAAAAAGTGGTGGTCGGTGCGGACAAGTCCCAGGACGTCCGGCGAGCCGTCCAGTGTCCACTTACATCCTGAATCACATGGCTACAGATCATTTCAATCTCTACTCCTAATGAAGCAGTTGGTAGCCTCGTACGGTTTATTTTTGTCCTCCTCCCACCTCCTCTGGGTTTTTTTCATCCTCCCTCCCACCTCCCAATTTCGTTGGTTTTTTTCATCGGTTTTTACTCGCCCCCTCCTCCCAGTTTCGTCCGGTTTTTATTCGTCCCACCTCTCACCACCCCCTCGTACTGGTTCTTTCTCTCCACTTTTTTCTTGCAAACCAATAATTTCCTAACATACAAAAGATCACGAATCTATCTTTCCTTACCCGAACCAATCGCGCCCTACATCAGTGCATTTCTTTATTAAGAAAACTAACACGTAAATCTTAACGCATTGTAAACAAATCCCGTTATGGGCCTAATTAATTTATTGTGGAATCTATACGTGGTCGCATTGGTTCTTTTTCTCTCCACTCTTTCTTTGCAAACCACTAATTTCCTAACATACGAAAGGTCATGAATCAATCTTTCCTTACCCGAATCAATCGATCCCTACATCAGTGCATTTCTTTATTAAGAAAACTAACACGTAAATCTTAACGCATTGTAAAGAAATCCCGTTATGGACCTAATTAATTTATTATGGAATCTGTACATGGTCGCATCTCTCCCCTCGTGAAAAAATCGCATCCATCTCCCGTTAAAAAGGAAAAGAGAACATGAACGATCAATCCCACACCTTGCATCTCAGTAGCAAAAAATCGCCCCCGCCTCTGCTACTGCGCCTCGCCGTGTGCCCGACTCGACCCATGCCTTGCCTGCATGGCTGGACGCCGCCGTCTCCACCGCCACGTACAAGAAAACGGTGGGCAGAACCATCCATTCAAATCGCACACTCCCACCCTCCTCCGCAATCCCTAGCCCCGCATCACCCTATCGCTTTCTCGCCTCTCTTTCCCTTCGATGTATATGGTGCCGAGCGGCGGCCTCGAGCACCGGCAGTGCCACCCTCTCTATCTTCGCTGCGTCGAGAGATGGGACGAGGCTATCGTCGGTTCGCCGCCACGATTGGGCCGCATTCGGTTGTCGCGCACCACCGGCCCCACCTAACGTGCCCGACCCTCTCCGCTTTCGACCTTCCGGCGAGTTGGCGACCACATACCTCCGCACCTCCATCCATCATCCACAAGGCCACTCCCTGCACCCACCCTCCTAAATTCTCCATACCGGCGGACAATCACCGAAGATCCAAGTTGGCCCGATATCAATTTTCTTACATGCTTTCTTTATCAGTTAGTGATGGGAATGGGTTCCAATTTCTCTCTCTGACTGTGGATTCGCAGGCAAGAAGCGCTTCTACATGCATTCTCCTATCGGTCCCTAAAGTACCACGGTAAATGGTTGATGTTGCGTTCGTCTAGGATGATATATGTTGGCTCTGTTCCGGTTCATCCGAGCAGTTCCGGTACATCGTGCATTTATCTTGCCAGTAATGTTCTGTGATGCTCTGATGCACTTTGGGAATTGTTTATCGTGTCTTCAATGCAAAACATTTGTTTATTAATGCATGAGAAGAATCCTTGTTACTACCTTGAACCTGTTTTATAATCCATATTGTTATGCACTAGTGTGTGTGCGTGTGAAATAAATGGATTATGGCCCCGTACCTAATAAGATGGATATGTGTGTGTGTTCGAGAGAAAGAGAGAGGGAGGAGGGAGAGAGAGAGTGTGTGTGAGAATTTGATGGTAAAAAGATCGCCAATGTCACTTGATATGTATGAGAATATTAAATGTAATATTAACATAATTGATATTGAACTCTTAAAGTTAATGTGCCCCCGTTGCAACGCACGGGTGTTCTTCTAGTCAACTATAACAACCAACAGGTCGCCAGTCCCAGGAGTATCATGCCAAAAAGAATCAGGGTACTGAAGATAATTTTACACTGCATAAACTAGATACATGGGGGTAAAGTTACACTGTCTGCTGTTCCTTCCACCCTAACATAAAACAATTAGACAGGCACATAGCTTCAAGAGTACGATACAATGTTAGCAGCCTAGAATGATGGTGACGTCAGACGGCGCCTATCTTCTCTTTGCTATTCCCGAACTGTGTCAGAAACTACCTCGTACTACACCGGAACCTAGGTCACCTATCCATAATTACATACAGGACATGTAAGTACAGATAGATACAGGAGAGATACATAGATTAGAACGGCTGTTAAATCTATGTCAGGCTCCACCAAAAACAGACGAGGCGAGGCTTTAACTCAGTCAGAATCGCTGTCATGCTCCAGGAAGCGGTATTCTCTTGGCCCGCCTAGTCGAAGAACTATGGTTCCGGAGTTCCCTTCATACCACTCGATGCCTTCCTTCTCCACAAGCTCGATAACCTATTACAGGCATTTGTTTATATATAATTGCATTCAAAAGCATGGCATGTGAAATCAAGGGATTAACATATTACGATTAACTGGATAAAGGGTTAAGGCATTTTTTAGGGAACTAAAATATCAGCATTACAAACCCCACCAAGAGCTGCACAACAACATTCTACTATACTGGACCATATGGCCACAAGACTAAATGTGGATAGAGTATGAAAGGATGCAACATCCAACCAACTGCAATTGAGGAGGGTTCATTTAGAGTATGAAGACGATGCCTTAAAACTACTGCAGTCACTATACTTAAAAGCAGCATATAGAAGTGACAAGAATGACTAATCAAACAAGAACATTCTTACCGATCGTTTTATCTTTCCTTTCCCTGTACCTTCAACACCACAACCAGTAATTACTCTAAGAAGGGTAGCTGTTTAAGGAAGAGAAAGGAAGACATGACAATAAAGCATTAGTCAAGACCAATGGAGCTAAATAATTAAAGCATCAAATTGTATGTGAACACTCACATGGCATGCATACACAAACCAGCATGTGAACTTTGAGGAGCTTCATAGCTTGCTTGACATGTTGACCATGCAAGTCAATAGTCACCGTGTTTGTTATATGCTTGTTTCTGCCAAACCAAGATACCAGAGTCTGAGATCGGAGAATATCTCCCTGACTATCAGAAGCTATACAGTGGTTTACCTGGCTTCAAATATCTCCCTGCTGGCCTTCTCATCTTCCTTGCGACCCAATTCCCGATAATGTTTTCCCTAAAGCAAATAAATATTGGGCTATTTGAGATACTAAGGCACAAGTTAGCTATAAACATTCCAGAAAATATTCTGAAAAAATGAATACATCTTAGCATCTTATAACAGGGCTAATATCATTTACTAATTTTATGTATTGTAAGATAAGAAACAACATCAGCACATCACTTGGAGCTCTCCATCATTCAACCATTAAGGGTGAAAGATAAAGAGATCATGCCCTCTTTTTTTGTCATACTTTTGTCAGCCTTAACATCTTAAAATTGGAAGTCTGACCTCCTCTGCAAGGTACGAGGCATAAGATTTATCTCCTTTGGAATATGCCACAGCAGCCTGTATGGAATCAATAGAGATAAATATATGAAATACAAAAGAAGAACTGGCTCAAGGAGAACTGCGACAAAAATAGCGTCTTACTTTCTGATAGTACCCTTTCATCGTATCAT